CAGCTCCTCCCAGTTTTGGGATCACCTGCAAACTTGCTCAGTGTCCCCTCCAGTCCTGCGTCCAAGTCATGGATGAACATGCTGAAGAGCACAGGGCCCAAGATGGGCCCCTGTGAAACCCCCCTGGGGAGAGATGACAGTCTAATGTCCCCCCAGTCACTGCTCTGGACCTGCCCCAGCTCCATCAGGGCCCCCAGGCAGCCCCCACACACAGGTGTCCATGGGCAGGAGCACAGACACTCCAGGGAACATCCTCATGGAACACCATCCTTGTGGAACACATGGAACCCATCCCCACGGAACACCATCCTCATGGAACACCATCCTCATGGGACACATCCTTGTGGAACACACCCTTGTGGAACACATCCCCGTGGAACACTAAACACATGGAACCCATCCCCACGGAACACCATCCTCATGGAACACCATCCTCATGGGACACCATCCTTGTGGAACACATGGAACCCATCCCCATGAAGCACCATCCTCATGGAACACCATTCTCATGGAACACACCCCATGGAACACCATCCTCATGGAACACCATTCTCATGGAACACACCCCATGGAACATCATCCTTGTGGAACACATGGGACATATCCCCATGGAACACATTCACATGGGACACATCCCCATGGAACACCATCTCCATGGAACACACCCCATGGAACACATCCTTGTGGAACACATCCCCGTGGAACACTATCACCATGGAACCCACCCCCACGGAACACCATTCTCATGGAACACCATCCTCATGGAACACCATCCTCATGGAACACCATCCCCATGGAACACATCCCCATGGAACACACCCCATGGAACATACCCCCATGGAACACCATCCTCATGGAACACCATTCTCATGGAACACAACCTCATGGAACACATCCCCATGGAACACAACCTCATGGAACCCATCACCATGGAACCCATCCCCATGGAACCCACCCCATGGAACACCATCCCCATGGAACACACCCCATGGAACACCATCCCCATGGAACACATCCCCATGGAACACCATCCCCATGGAACACACCCCCATGGAACCCATCCCCATGGAACACACCCCATGGAACACATCCCCATGGAACACACCCCCATGGAACCCACCCCCATGGAACCCATCCCCATGGAACACACCCCATGGAACACA